TATCTTCGCCAACAATATAAGTTTCTTGCAGATAGCAAATTGTTAAGATTAGTTTTATAATCCATCTATCCAGTCTGCTTCTTTTTATTAGAGAATTAAGACCATTTACCTTAAGGGTTATTTTTAAAAGATATGTACTAATTCCTGTCATTTTGTTGTTTTGAATGATCTACGTTCTTTTCTTTCTCCATTATTCATCTTAGAAGTAATTAATCCTTACTAATTCTCATTTACTGGTTTTCTCTTCTAGTAAGATTTATTCTTTTCTATGATTTTGTTTGTCTTGCTTCCTCTTTTATGTGTAGGATTCCTTCAAGTATCTTCTATAATGCTGTTTTAGTAATCATGAATTCCTTTAATTTATGCTTATTTTTTAAGGTCTTTATTTCTTCTTTGATGTTGGAGGTTGACTTTGCTGGATATAGTTATCAAGGTTGGTGGGTTCCCCATCTCCTCCAGGGCTTCATGCATCATTCCATGTCCTCCTGGCCATTAGAGTTTCTACTAAGAAATCTGCTGTCATTCTAGTGGGTTTACCTTTAGATGTGACTCTGCACTAGGAGTTCTTTTCAGGTTATGTCTATTTGGAGTTCTAAATGCCTCCTGTACCTGGATTCCCATGTCTTTCCCAAAAATGGGGACAATTTCTGCTTCTTATTACTTTAAATTAGTTTTCTATTCCCTTAGCCTATACCTGAAGTCCTTCATCTGTTCCCAGTATATATAAGTGTGGTCTTTTAATGGTGTCCCATAGATCTTGTATGTTTTTTTCATTCTTTCTTAAATTTTTTTCCTTACTAGTATTACAATGTGATAATTCATCAACCTTATTTTTTTATTTTTTTTTTATACTGGGGATTTGAAGGATTGAACCCAGGGGTTCTCGGCCACTGAGCCACATCCCCAGCCCTATTTTTTTGTAATTTATTTAGAGACAGGGTCTCACTCAGTTGCTTAGTGCCTCGCTTTTGCTGAGGTTGACTTTGAACTCGTGATCCTCCTGCCTCAGCCTCCCAAGCCGCTGGGATGACAAGAGTCCATCACTGTGTCCGTCTTCAACTTTATTTTTAATGCCTGATATTCTTTCTTCTTGATTTAGTTTACTGGTGCAGCTTTCCACTGAGTTTATAATTCAACTTACTGAGCTTTTCATTTCCAGTATTTCTATTTGGTTCTTTTTCAGAATCTATATTTCTTTATTAAGTTGCTCTTTCATAATCTATATTATTTTCCTTAGTTTATTCAACTGTTTGTAACCTCTTTGAATTTATTGATCATTTAAAAAACCATTTATTGACCATTTAGAAAACCATTCTTTTGAATTCTTGTCCAGCATCTTCGGAATCAGTTACTAGAGAGTTATTAACTTTTGGTGGAGTCACATTGCCTTGTTTTTTTTTTTTTTTTTTCACATTTCTGGTGTTCTATGTTGAGATCCACACATATATTGAAATGGAAATCACTTCCATTTTCATGTGAAAGTCTAATTAGGGAACAGTCTTATTTTTATACTGTGCCCAAGAAAATTAGTTTGTTTTGTAGTGTTGTTTTATTCTGAATGGACTTCTTATTTCTTGCTGTAGTTTTCCTATGGCTTTTGGCTTGCATGCTGTGTTAGAACCTAAGTAACCCACTTCCCTGAACATCTCCCAAGAATTAAGACCCTCTAGAAATGCAGGCAGGTGTGCTGTAGGCAGCAGGATATAGGAGTTCTACTTTTTTTGCGTAGTCATCCAATCTTGCTAGCAGCCTGAAAAGATACGGGAGGGTATGGGAGCAGCCTATGCTGACGTCACTCATAGGTACAGTATCCACAGCTGTTGCATTGTTTCTTTCTGCTGTTGCTGTGGGAGTGAATGGCTGTGAGTGGGACTTGAGGCCTCCTCTGTGCCTTCTTGGGGCCACATCATCCACTGGAGGCTTATCTCCCCCATCTTTAAGTTGAAGTATCTGCCAAGGTTCTAGAGAGTCAAAGTCAAGGACATGTCTAGATTGAGTTGCAGTTTCTCACAACTGTGTTGGGAATGCCACTCCGCAGCCACGTACCCACTCGACATCCTTAAGGTGCTAAACTCGATTCCCAGCAGTACTCGGAAAGAAGAAAACAAACTAACAACCACAAAATAAAAATAAACTTGAAGTGGAAATGCAGTAATAAGCAAATAAAAACAACTACAACAGGGAGGTGCTATAGAGTCAGTTGCAACTATCTGCACTGAAGGGGTTGGGCAGCAGTGGGTCCCACGCATGAGTTTCCCATGAACCCCCATGCTAAATATAGTATACTTGTGTGTATATATATCATAATTGATCATATACTAATATATACATATATATAGTATATGATTTTAGGTATGAAAACCCCATTTCCCACAGCTGGCTTCCTGACTTGTCAGTTCTAAATGTAAAGCGACTTTTATTCCCTTATGCATCACAGACCAGTTTTCCATTGTCACTATCTGTGGGTCTCAGACCTTTCAGGCTCTTGACCATGTCACAGAAAAAGATTTAAGGATGTGTCACATTTGAATAGCAGAGCAAGAAACTTATTATAATGGGGAAAGTACACAGTCAAGACTGGAGGTGCTGGCAAACTCAGTTCAGAATGGGAGAATTGCCTCATTTGGGACTGGAATTTGACATTTATAGAGAGATAGCAAGGGACTGAACTAGAGGTGGAATTTACACAATTCCCCACCAGTTTTCCTTGCACTTGCAGGTTGCCCTCACATGTTCTAACCTTGCTACTTCTTTTTTAGAAATATTTTTATTAGTGCATTATACTATATATAGCAGTGAGTTTCATTTTGACGTACATGCATGGAATGGAATTTGTTCCATTCCAGTCCCTAGTACTTCCTCTTTCCACTCCTCCCATCCTCTGTTTCCCTTCCTCTGCTGGTCTTCCTTCTACTTATTGTTCTTTCTAATTGGTGTTATGTAGATATACATAATGGTGAAATTCACTGTGGTATGGTTGTGTATGTACATAGCATAGTTTGTTCAATTTTTATTCTGTAGTTCCTCCATTTTCCTTCTCCTTCTACCCTCTTCCTCTACTCCACTGATCTCCCTTCTATTTTCATGAGATTGAACCCAGGGGCCTTAACCACTAAGCCACATCTCCAGCTCTTTTTTTTTTTTTATTTTGAGACAGGGTCTTGCTGAGTTGCTTAGGGCCTCACTAAATTGCTGAGACTGGCCTCAAACTTATAATTCTCCTGAGTCTCTGGGATTACAGGCCTATGCCTGGCTATCTCCTCTTTTTTAAGAACTTCAGTCTCATGTCTATTAAGTTGCTTAAAGATGTCCTACAGTTCATTTATGCTCTGATTTTTTTCTTCTTTTCTCTCCATGTTTTATCTTGGATAGTTTCTATTGCTATGTCAAGTTCACTAATCATTTCATATACCATGTCCAATCTGCTGTTAATCCCATCTAATAGATTCTCATCTCAGCCATTTGTGGTTTTCATATCTAAAAGTTTAATTTGGGTGGTTTTAAAAATATCTTTCAAGCTTCTGCATAACATTTAATCTTTAGCTTCTTAGAACTGAATTCTGTGTAAAAACATTTATAATAGCTTTCAATGTCTTTGCTATTTCTGCTGTCAGTTTGTAATAAGTTTTGATATAATGAATTTTCTCTTTGTTGTAGACATATTTTCCTCCTCCTTTAAAAGATTGACAATTTTTTGTTCAGTACCAGACATTGCAAATTTTACTTTTTTGGGTGCAGGACATATTTGTACTCCTATTAATACTCTTTTGAATTTTGTTCTGGGATGCAGTTCAGTCACTTAGGAATAGTTCTTTTTTGGTCTTATTCTTAACATTTGTTAGTTTTGGAACTGAGGGGTATAGCTCAGTGGTAGAGCACTTGCCTGGCGTGTACAAGGCCTGGGTTCAATCACCAGCACTGCAAGAGAGATTTTTTTTTTTAGGTTGGACCAAAGCAGTGTTTAGCCTAGGTCTAATTAGTCTCCTGAAACAAGATCCTTCTCAGTACTCTATCCATTGCCCCATGGATTATGACATTTTTTTTTAACCAGGCTAGTGTAAGTGACCACTGTTCCTTACCCTGGGTGAGCTCTGACTGTTGTTCTTTTTAATATTGTTAGCTAATCTTCCTCCCCGCCCCCCAGCTTGACTAGTTTCCTTGTATCCATATGGTGATCTATATTCTATTGAATTCTCAAGCAGCGCCCTCTGCAGATCCTGGAGATCTCCACTCTAATAGTACTCTTCTGTGATAACTGTAGTCACTGTGAGCTTCCTAGACTTTCAGCTCCTCATCTCAAGAGAGTCCATCAGGCTCCAATTTGGTTGCCCCATGGCAGGTCAGAAGGAGTAGATAAGGTAATATCTGCTTTGAGGCCAAGTTTTAGAGGCCTTTGGGTACTGCACGGGAGAGTCAGGATTCTATCCTATAAGACATATTCAAGCTGTATTTCAGAAGACACAGGTGACCTGAGCCAGTCCTTGCTGAATATGTTAAGCAGTTAACATTTTACTAGCCCACAGATCATTGAGGAAGTTGCCCTTCATCACTCGATTTATACCAGTATCAATTACTGACACCTCTCCATGGCCATAGATGATTTTTCCAGAAAGGCCCTAGCTTAACCAAATGATAACATGACATAATACAAGAAACAATTGTCCCCTTTTTTGCAAATTGATTTTTCTATAGAAGAGAAGGAGTAAGAAGCAGGCCTCCGTTCTCAGATGACTCACCAAGGTTGAAGGACAGTTGGTGGATAGAAAGTCAGTCTAGAGGTTTGCTTCTTACATGGTCCCAGACTAGCAGCAGTGGCATCACTGGGAGTTTCTTGGTACTACAGAGCCACATCTACCATCAGAATCTGCACTGTGATGAAAGGCTTAGCTGTTTCATATGCATTGAAATTTGAGAAGCACTGTTTTAAGGAAATGGTACCTGTGCCCTCTAGTGGCTGGCCAGCAACTTGCAGGAAGTTTTACAATATTTTCTCATTTTAGGACCTTTGCACAGAACTGCCGAAACATTGAACATTTAAACCTCAATGGGTGCACAAAAATCACTGACAGGTAAGTAATGAGGATTAGTTTAGGGATAAAGTGGCTGCCGGGTGAATGAGGGGAGAGAAACATGGTTGAAAATATCTTTAGTGCATCTGCTCTTTTCCAGCACGTGTTACAGCCTTAGCAGATTCTGTTCCAAGCTGAAACACCTGGACCTGACCTCCTGCGTGTCTATTACAAACAGCTCCTTAAAGGGCATCAGGTAAGAACACCCTTTGTTTGTGGTCTAGAAAATACCCAAACAATAAAAAATTAAAAAAGAAAATACCCAAACAGTGAACATTCCGGTGTATCTTCCTGATGAAGCCTTCCTAATGGTCCCACTAGAGCAGGGAAGAGATGACGGCTCAGACAGGTTATAGGGGCTGTCTCACTCACTGAATTGCTGATGATGTATTAAATTCAAAGTCGGTAATAACTGTCTACAGCAGTACACAGGGGTGTTTTTGTTTCTTGTTCTCTCAGTGAGGGCTGCCGAAATCTGGAGTACCTGAACCTCTCTTGGTGTGATCAGATCACAAAGGATGGCATTGAAGCGCTGGTACGGGGTTGTCAAGGCCTAAAAGCCCTGCTCCTGAGGGGCTGCACACAGGTACCAAAAATGTTCATGCAGCTGATTTTCTCACACATCGGGAACTAATTTGCTGTTGCATTTTCCCTGGTGTCCCACTTGTTCCCTCACCAAGACTTCATCCCTCTTCTGTTTTTTGTGTCCACTTAGTTAGAAGATGAAGCTCTGAAGCACATTCAGAATTATTGCCATGAGCTTGTGAGCCTCAACTTACAGTCCTGCTCAGTAAGTAGCATGCCTTTCCCGAACACTGCCCTGCTCCGTTCTTTCCCCCAGAAATCTGTTGTAGGCCTCACTGCACAGCATCCCTTGCAGCTGAGATGACTGGCAAATAGTCACATTGCCAGACCTGCACTCTGGCTTCTCATCCTGTGTCTTTGTAGGATCTGTCACTTTGCCATGAGATAAAAGAACAAGGCATCACCCTCAATACTGAGCCACCAACATCTCCCCTAGAAGTACTATAAATCAAGCCTTGATTAAAAAAAATAATAGAGTATTGAGTAAAGTATCAGAGTTGCCATGAACTAACCAGGCACAGTGGTGAATGTTTATAATCCTAGCAGTTTGGAAGGCTGAGGCAGGGGAATTGCAAATATGAGGCCAGCCTCAGCAATTTATCAACTCCAAGCAACTTAACAAGACCCTGTCTCAAAAGGGCTGGGGATGTGGCTCAGTTAATCCCCAGTACAGAAAAAGAGAAAAAGAAATACTGTGAACTAGTCACTAACTAGTTGTTAGACCTGAATAGTTCATCATAAGAACTCAGTGTCTTTTTTTTCAACTTATAAATTGGGGGTAATGGCAACTGTAATATTTCAGGAGATAAAATGAAATAGCAGATGTGAAAATGCCTAGAAAAATAAATGACGTATGCAAGAGCAAGGTAGCATTTCATCTTCATCAGGGCATAGCCTGTGCAAACCTGCTGGCCCTTCTTCACTGCCACTATAAATGCTGAGAAGTACAGTGTGTGCTTTCAGCAGGCTACAGGGTTCCTCAAGGGGCATGTAGCCCTGAGAGAGTTCTCTCTCTCAAAAGCCCTTGCATTTGATCTTTAATGAATGAATACTAAATCTTTAGAGTCCCTGATGGTGGGACAGAAAACAAACCATCTTCTGGACCAGTCTTGACTTTGTGGGCCTGGACTATTCAAAATAAGACTTTGACCTGCATGTAGAATTGCACGTGGCTCAAGATACAATATAGATGTGCAATTTATTTCTATATGAATTAGAGCATTTATGTTAGATGGAATCTTTATGGCTAAACTAACAAAATTCTAAGGCATTTTTCAATAACTGATTTGTTATCTTTAAAACATTTGAGGAAATATTGTTTGTATATATGTGATTTATATGGCAAATGTCTAAAGCATTAATTTGTAGATGTTCAACCAAATATTAATGTCACTTAGGCAAGTTTTATGTTTTACAATCAAGAATTTTTCCTGGGTGGGGGGGAGTCTAAATCTATTTTGATGAATCCTGGGGTTAGAAATATAATTTAAAGTTTTTACCCTCCATCAGTAATGCTAGAACATTTTAATACAAATACATATCTGCCCTTTTTTAAGTTGTTAGGAAGTGCTAGTAACTGACAACCAAATAACAGTTGCTCCTGTCTAGTTCTGATGTCCTCTGACTTCTTCCTGCACTGCTTTTCTGCAGCGCATCACGGATGAAGGCGTGGTGCAGATATGCAGGGGCTGCCACCGGCTGCAGGCCCTCTGCCTTTCGGGTTGCAGCAACCTCACTGACGCATCTCTTACGGCCCTGGGTCTGAACTGCCCGAGACTGCAGTGAGTATGCCATGCTTTCTGCTTTGCAGCTCAGAGATTGCCTGGGCTGACCAAGAGGAGGGGAAGGCGTGGAGCAAGAGGAACAGGTGGTAGGGGAGGCAGGAGTTGTGTTTTTGCTGGGTGTACGGAGGTGGGGCAGCGTGTAACCTAGTTCATTGAGGGTTGCACCAGCAGAGTGTGAAGTGGCTAGCACCAGTGAATCTGAATTGTGTTTCTTGATGAATTCACGCATTCCAACCACCACCACCAATTTGCTTCATCCTGTTAATCTCTTCAAACACCAGAGTAATCTGATGGCGAGCAAAGTGGTAGCCTTGGTCCAGATGTTCCCAGTGTCTCCTTTAAACCTGCTGCTAAGTAGACACAGTGAGGGGAAAAGATCATAATTGCTTCTTATTTTTCATTTTCCCCAGCAGGAAGAATGGGAGATTTTTGTTTTGTTTTGGCATTGGGGATTGAACCCAGGAATGCTTTACCATTGAGCTACATTCCCTACCCTTTTTATTTTTTGAGACAAGGTTTCACTAAATTACTGAGGCTAGTCTCAAATCTGTAATTCTCCTGTCATAGCCTCCCAAGTTGCTGGAATTACAGGTGTGCACCACCACACCCAACTGTTTCAATAAATAATAATTTATTTTCTGATTCTCAAGGCAACACATTATTGCTACCAGCTATGCATATGAAAACTACTTAGGGCTAATCTTGCACTCATGTTATGTTCCTGACTCAGTGCCAGGTATCTTTATGAGTGATATCTTATTCTCAACACATCTCTGAGTAGTTACCACTATTCTCATTTGTTCTGCAGAGGAGAAACAGATACAGAGGAAAATCATATAATTTGTCCTGGGTCACATGATGATTAAGAAGTAAAGATAGAATTTGGACTTAGGGTTTGACTTTCAAACTAGCAATCCTAACCTGCATACAAGAGGCAGAAAAATTATTTTAACGTTTTATATGCCAGTGAAACTGATCCATTTCTCATGTCAGTTATGTAACTTTTAAGAATCATTTATTTTGTATTTGAATTTTTTTTAAGAAAGATTCTAGATAATTTTGATATTTCTGCTTCATAGAAGGAATTTGGGTGGTCAGAACTAGTCAGAGGGCTGAGGATGAAGCTCAGTGGCAGAGCACGCGCTTAAAATGCATTAGGGCCTCGGTCCAATCCCCAGCACAGAAACAACAAAAGACCAAAAACAACTCTGGTCAGAGAACAGGTTAAAATTATTGTTAACTTAGAAATGTTATTCATGCATTCATTCCTATTAAGCATGAGTAAGTGAGAATTATGTGTATGTAGGTGTGTGTGGTACTGGGCATTGAACCCGGGGGTGCTGTACCACTGAGCTATATCCCCAGCCCCTGCCTCAGCCTCCCAAGTCTCTGGGATGACAGGAATGTGCCACTGTGTCTCTCACCAAAAATCAACTCAGTTTTTCATTGCCTATAATTGTTTTAAATTTCTTGTAACTTGGAATTTCAATGAATATATTGTAATATGATTTTATTACATACAAGTTCATTTTAATTGTATTTTATTTATTTTTTAAATGAAATGCAATATTTTTAAAATATATTTTTAGTTGTCAATGGACCTTTATTTTATTTATTTATTTATATGTGGTGCTGAGTATCAGACCCAGTGCCTCACGCATGCTAGGCAAGCGCTGTACCACTGAGCTACAACCCCAGTCTTTTATTTAGTGACTTTTAAAATAAGTCACTAAATATTAGAGTATTATTTCAAAACCAACAATGTGGTGGTGGGGAAGATTCTTGGATTTACTACGGGAGTTTGGGATGAGACTTTAGGGCCTTGGACAGGTCCTCCCTAACCCTCAAGCAGGCCCTCATCTGTTCAGTTGGGACAGTCTTTGAGTTTTACAACCCTTAGAATGATTGACAGAGGCAAAGTGTCAAAGAACAGAACAACATCAAGAGTGTGCAGCGGAGCATAATGTTTCTATTGTTAATCTCTTGGTACTTTTTTTCTCCCCTGCATGTCCCCTTCCTAGAATTTTGGAGGCTGCCCGATGCTCCCATTTGACTGATGCAGGCTTTACACTTTTAGCTCGGGTAAGGCATAGATTTTTAAACAACAACTGTAATTCAAAGTGACCTGGGGTGGTTGTGTGGTGTGCAAAAATTAGCTTCAGAAAAGACGAGCACAAAGCCAAGTAGAATCCTTGGGGTAAGTTTTACATTTTTTTCAGCTAGCCAGAAATCTAGGAAGACACTGGAGAGAATTCTGGAAAGGGCCCAAGCCTCCTTCTCACTTGAACAGGTGGGGCCGCCCTGAGAGGAGCTTCTTCTCCTGTAAGAGATGCCATTCCTACACAGACCCCAGTTGGCCTCTCTACAGCATCCCCTAACTAGGCTGGGCTTGCTCCATTTTCTACATTGTCTGCCACAGTGACCACCAAGGTCACTATGAGGCCCTTTCTGGGCTTGTTGCAAGGAGCCAGTGTCCTTCAGGGGATGCTGATATATTCTTCTTCCTACCCTACAATCAACCCCACCCACCTCCCCAGTGTGGCTGAGCTCCTCATTCCCTGTTCTCCCAGAGCCTGGCCTATGATTAAAATTTTCCTGCTAATGTCTGAACCACTGGGAAAGTGCTCTTTCAGGTTGAGAGAAGAAAATGCTGCCAGAGCAGCCCTATTTCCATTTTCAAAGTGACTATGACTCAAAGGGCACAAGCTCAGAGATGCTGGTTCACTGAGTAGCTCTAAGAACAGACCATACCCCTTAATGGAAAAGAACAAGGACCTTGGTTCATACTCAGGGAGACAGGTAAGTTGCAGGTGTTGCCTACACAGCAGGGCATGTCTTGTGTACTCTTTCAGAATTGCCATGACCTGGAGAAGATGGATCTGGAAGAATGCATCCTGGTGAGTGGAACCCTAAGAGCCCTGAGGGCTGCTCCTCAGTTACTGCTAGTAGCATCACACAGCTAGGGACATAGACTGCCTGTTGTCCCAACCCTTCTTGCCCAGTATAGGCAGTGGGACTTGGGTACTCATTAGGGCCATGGCAGTGGGATATGTAAACTTTTGGCTACTTGCAGTCATCAGGCAGAGTTATAGCAAATAAATTCAAGATTTCTTTTGCCAGACATAAAAAACAAGGTCTCCTCTTATTTTTCACAGAACTTAAGGGAGAAATAAACTGATATATCCAGCGATGGGGTGACTCTAGAGAGAATACTTCTTGCCCATTCCCTGTTTGTTCTTTTCCCCTAAGCCCCTTTTAGGGCACCATAGAGAGACCAAACTGTTACAGTTGTGCATCTCCAGGAGTGGGCAGATTGGAGGTTGCTGGTAAAGACAGGAGCTTCCAGCCGGAGTATGCCTGGATGAGTTTTTAATTCTCTTTTGCACCTTTTGATTTCCATGTTCAGGAGAAGCCAGGATTAGGTATTAAGTTCTGGTGTAGAAGCTACACTGACACAGCGTGTTTCTCTCCAGATAACCGACAGCACGCTCATCCAGCTCTCCATTCACTGTCCTAAGCTACAAGCCCTGGTGAGTCTTTTGAATTTTTGTGACATTATTCACCTCTTGGGAATGAAAGGATCCTCCCATCACAGCAAAAATCACTGTGGGTTCTCTGTCCATCATGGTTCCAGAGCTTAGAGTTTCTAAGCTCTACCAGCTGGGCTAACTTGGGAAGCGGGGTATCTGGATATTACTGCTTTCCCCCAGCAGGGACCCGTGTCCTGGTCACTTCACTCAAGTTTGTGTTTATCTGGCAGACAGGGTGAAAGTTAGCGTGATGAAATGTCACATTCCTCAACAAGTTTGGGACCATCCTTCTGTTGTAGTTCACATCTGTTCATCTGGGGGGGAAAAGGAATGAGACCATTTTCTTGGATATGTATTTACACCTTTTGAAAGATGCAAAATGAGTGCCTGCCACTCTTAGCCATGCAGACATCTCACTCACATTTCACTTCTGTCCATCTGAGCCTGGAGAAGGGGAGGAGTCATTGTCTGCTGAGCAAGCCACCAAATGGAAGTCTACCGTGCCCACAAAATGTCAGCCATATGATGCAGGCACCATTCAGAGCCCCATTTTATAAGTGAAGAAACTGAGACTCAAAGTGGTGAAGGGACTTGCCCCACAGTTACACAGCTGCTCCAAGTCCCCAGATCTCTTGGCCTTTCCCCAGTCTGGTGTTTACGAGGCCCACAGGTGCACACATCCAGTTTTTCTTAAGCCAGCTTTCCCTCTGTCATCTTTGAAAGTTGCCCTCTCCTCAAGGGCTTGAATTCTGTGTCATCATTAAAGCTCCATTTGGCCTTAAGTCACTCTCCCACCAACTTTCCTTATTTCTACTTTCCCTCTGGACACTTCCCCTCAGGCACAAGTGCAAGGAGGCTTCAGATACCTGTGGGAGCAGTTTGCAGGTTCCACACTGTCAGGGGATGTCCTCCAAATAGTTGGTGTTCTCCCCTGCAGGGAGGTTTCTGGTGATGGAAAACCTTCTCTATCTTGTCCACTATTTTTATACAAGCTATTTCCAAAAACAGAACAGAGGTTAAAAAAAAAAACTATAAAACCAGAAGCTCCAAATAAAAAATCAAAAAAATTTGAACATAAAGAATTATTAGCAAAAAAACAGGAAACAGTTGCAGTTGAAATCTTAACATAGCCTTGAGATTTTAATAGCCAAGACAGATAAAGGAAAAAGGTGTCTGTTATTCATCCAGTTCACTCTACAAACATTTCTTGAGGACCACCATGCCAAGCACTCCTCTAGTGGTTAGAGACCAAGAAGATGACTCATCAGGAGAGACCACCTGCAATGTCAGAGGATCCACATTTGAGGGACACTTGAGGAGCACTACCCACTTTGGTAAAGGACAGTACTAAGATCTCCTCTGTTGACCCCCAAGCAAAGCTGAGCACAAGGTAGAGCACATGTGTTGTGTGAAGTGCGTTTCTACTGCAGCAGGTCGCACAGTGTGCATATGCAGCCAGCTCAGTCTGCCCTGGCGTAGTAGCACCATGCGAAGGATCGGGCACGGCTTCTAGCAGGGCCTTTGGACTGAGTGCAACGTGAAATAAGTTCTCTTCTCTGCAGGCCTCGTGTAGGGACAGGAGGTCCCACTGGAGCAGCCCAATCTCCACTCAAAAGGAAACTCACGGATCTGAGGGAGAGTGAGTGCTGACCATGACAGACCCAGGCACAGGCTGCCAGGGGCCCACAGCGGGTTCCACCCCAGCCTCCAGAGATCAGTAGAGGAAATACTGTTGGGGGAAACACCATTTTGAATTTTGAAATGTGTCTTTTATCTTTTACTAAAGATCTGCAAGCGGGAAGAAATGAGGAAAATGACCACCAGTGTGAATGAAGCCAGGTGACTACTTCAGCGCAGTTCCCAACACTCAGGTTTCCCAGGTTCTCCTTTATGTGCAAGAGAGGCGAGTGGGTACATATACCATGGGCTTCCAGGAGTGACTCTGTGATCTTCACTAGAGGAAGAGCCTATGCTCACACTAACACAAAATTCGGAACAATATTCAAAAACCTGATTGTGTTTGACAGTAAATCAAATATGCATTTGCAAACAAGGGGAGTCCCAGATTCAAAAGAATATGAGGGAGCAGTACCCAGAAGATTAGCGAGAGCATGAATTTGTCTGTAGGCAATTAAGGACCCTCTTTGTTTCTTGTTTTTTTTAAAGTTGTAGGATATGTGTTTGTGGCAGGGAGTTTCTGTTGATTATGGAGGAGCTGGTTTCCTTTTCAGAGCTAGTTTGAGTATTTTCAAAAATCATTTTATTGTGTAAGTCATTGGTCCTAGAAACTATTCTAAAGAAAAAGAAATGCAGCCAAAAAAGGAAATGCATTACTTTCTTCATTATGAGATTTTATTTCATCCTGATTTAACAAGACACCATGATATTATATAGAAAACAAAACCATTAGAAGTCATATCAGTCACTCTCCCTTTCGGATGACAAGCATATAGATTACCCAGTGGTCAGCCTGCTCTCGGCCATGTTTGAGAATCTTGTTATCAAGCCACTACTTACTGCTCTAAAAGAAACAATAGCAATGTGAGACTTGTTAACATTTAGATGGCTGTTTTCTCCAATTTAAAGTGGATACATTTAACAACTTTGAAAATACCACTATAAGACAGATGCGTATTTTGTTTTGTTTTTATGATACTGGGGATCAAACCCAGGGCCTTGTGCACGCTAGGCAATCATTGTACCATCATGCTACAGCCCCAGTCCTAGAATGAATTCTTATCTCATGCCCCACTGCCTGACCAGTGTCTTCCTCCTTTCCAGTCACCCCTTCTGTAACCCAACTGCAGCAATAATTTCACTTAAATGGGACTCATCTTTTCATTGTCACTCACCCATTCGAAGTCCCCTCTCCCCGACTCAGCCTAAATTCTGTGGTCAATTATTTAATCTCTCCCTTAATCCTCAAGATTCACCTTCCCTCTTAGCAAAGCTGTCATCCTGTTTAAATCCTACTCTCAGTTGTTGAGCAGTCCTTGAAGCATGAGCATGAGTAAGGTGAAGAGGGCTTAAAGGCTTTTACGCAGAGGAACTAGTATGTGTCCTTTGTTGGACCGACAAGAGCCCTGGCTGGGCTTTAGAGAGGAGACAAGGCTGAACGAGAGGCAGGGGTCAGACCTGCTTCTCTGGATTGTATCCTTGGAGTTTGGAATGGCTGATAATTATCCGGAGAGCCATTTTTCTGTGGTAGAACAGTGAAGGTGACCCAGCCCATGTTTTGCTCCCAATTTGAAGCCTGTGGCTTATTCAGAACTTATAGCTATCTCGGAATACTGAAGTTCCCAAGACCATCAGGCCACTCCCGGAGCTCCATAGCAGTTACTCCCACACATATCTGTGGAGACCAGTGAGTGCTATCCCAGCTGCTGGGGCCAAACCTCAGCTCCTGTATACAGGTACCTCCCGTGGCTAAGACCTTTAGTTTATCCTGATTAGATTTGGATGCATATAGATCCATGATCATATGTCTTTCTGTTGAATTGACTTTTTATCACTGTGAAATATTCCTCTGTCACTCTGTCTTAAAGTCTGCTTAATGTAATATTAATATATCAGCCTTTTTGTGCTTTCCATTTGCAAAGTATATTTTTCTTTCGGATTTTTTTAAATTCTGTTTTTAAGTGTAAATTCTTTTTAAAAAGGACTAAAATTCTGTTCTTTTGGATTTTATGTGTTTTAATATCTTAAGAGACACTGTATCATTGGGTCCTGCTTTTGTCTAGTCTGGTGATCTCTACCTTTTTAAATAGTTTAGTCATTTATGTATAACATAATATTGAGAGAGTTGGATTTGTGTTCTTCATTTCACTGTTTTTTTTTAATATTTATTTTTTAGTTGTAGTTGGACACAACACCTTTATTTCACTTGTTTATTTTTGTATGTGGTGCTGAGGATCGAACCCAGGGTCTCGCACGTGCGAGGTGAGCGCTCTACCGCTGAGCCACAAACCCAGCTCTTCATTTCACTGTTTGTTGTTCTGTTTTCTATTCCTCAGTTCTTCCTTTCCAGTTTTCTTCTTGGATTAACTGAACATTTTTAGAAATTGTTTTATCCATTGGCATTTTGGCCATAGCTCTGTGCATTGATTTTGAATGGTTGCAGTTTCAGCATTAGATCTTGAAAGTTCTTTCTATAAATCAAAGGCAGCTTTCCTCAGTAGGGATTCAGGGAAAGCCTGGGATTGTGATTAGGCTCCTGTCCCAGCACCAGCACCTTGCACAGCGCCTGGTGAGGAAAAGCCACTTCAGATGTTCTTTTGGAACAAAGTGGATATAAACGAACCAATCCGAGTCTCAAGAGCTCAGCACAGTAACTGGTATGTGAGTGATGAGGGTCACCCCTAGAGTTGTGGGGCTTAGGTTCCAAAAATCACAGTCCTTCTTAAGAGGATGCCAGCTACCCCAGCCTTGCCATATCTCCACCAAAAAGTCTGCTTCTTTGGAGGAGAGGGAAGGTCAGAGATTCCTCTGCTCAGACTGGCACACCCCCAGCCCAAGTTCCTTTACTCACTCAAAGTCTCAGGCAATTTTGTCAAGGCAGGCAGGCCTGCAACGTCACTGGTAGGCCACCAGACTCTCGGAGACAGGTGGAGGAAATGATTCTCTTTGGAAGGTGTCAGGGGAAGATTCAGAGCCCCCGGGGAGGAGAATGTCTGGATTGCTTAGGCCTCAGCCTGCTGCAGCTCCAACAAGCAATATGCTTGAATTTCTCTTTTACATTTGATCTCAACTCCTCCCTGTCCCAGGTCTCTCTTAGGAAGCACTGCCCATGGTGAGGTTCACACCCATGCACACTCCTGATCCTACCAGGCCCCTAGCAGCCTAGTGGAAGTGGAAGGAGGCGTTAGAAAACAAGCTTGAGAACCGCATCACTGAGCTTTTTTTGCTGTAAGTGAACCTCCTTCACTTAAAAATGTTCCCAGTGTTTTCTCCTATTTTTTGAGATGGGGTCTCACTGTTTTACCCAGGCTGGTCTCTAACTC